TTTTTTTTTTTTTTTTTTTTTTTTTTTATAAAATTACTCTCCCCCCCCCCCCCCCCCCCCCCAGGAAGTCAATTGACTTTGTGTGATTCCAATATTTCTATTTTTCTTAATATGAACATTTCCAGCACATTTAAATAAATATGACTAATTAAAGATGTATTTGATAAATGAGCAGCTCTGCATTAGGAGTCTGGCGTCTCAACGTTCCTTCACTATTGACCAGAGGCTCCTGTCCTCACACCTCTAATGCTAGTCCCTCTCCTGAGAAGCACAGATGAACACTTCTAACATCTCAGAGAACAATCAGAATGCACGGGGCCTCACCGGAGTGTTCGCTGGAAGACATCCAAAAACAGAGCAGGCTGCTGTCTTTCAATAACCACAATGATACTTGGTTTCATTCAGTAAAAATGATAAATGGTTACAGGTATTCAAAATGAATAAAAATGAAAAGAAAAGTAAAAGCCAAACTTATGTCTGCAATGAGGCTGATACAAACGCATGCGAAAAGACAAAAAGAGCAAGAAGACTGTCTCCAAACACACCCTCTCTTTTCTTCCCTCAGCTGAGTGATTCCAAGCTCGCTGAACTGCAGGTGGAACTTACTCATATGGTTTCTATGAGTCAGAACGCAGAGTGTACACATGATTAATGTGATTTCAAAACTCTTCGCTCACGAATCAGCCTCTCAGTTTATTAAAATGTATTTTTTTGATGGCCCGCTCGGGTGGGAAACAAAAGAAACCAAATGCACTGTGGGCCTCGGCAGTCTCCTCATGGGTTTGGTTGCTGCTAGCGTGTGCTGCCATTGTCTTCTCTGGTGTCTTCAGGTGGAGCGGCTCTTCTTCTTTGCTCTGAATTTGGATAGCTCTGATTGATCAGCTCACTGCCATACCCAGCCTATTTTCTTTGATCTTTCAGTTCATTTTAGCACGGATCAACTAAATATTATACGATTACCTACAATTTGTTTTTTTATTTTATTGTTACTTCATATAGAATCCATACTTTACTTAACTATTTTTCCTTAACACCTCCTAATTGGCCCCAGGTGTTTTTCTGCCATTGGGCCTTACCTATGACATATGTATCGTGGGATAAAGTGTAGGGAGCCTTGTTACTGTAGCACCCTCTAAATGTTTCCTCCCCCCTTCACGGACCACGGGGAGTCCTTATGGTAAACCTTCCCACATGTGCATGTTCCATTTTCTCCCCGGTGGTGGAGCATTATTAGTGTGTAATATATTGTGGACACATAATAATCTTTTCCTCGGTAATGTCGGGTGTCTCTGGATGGTTGCTTGTGCTCTGGGAATCAGAACAGGAGCTGAACTCTGACCTGGTGTGTGCATCTTTGACATCAGAGAGAAGAACATCTGGAGAGTTTCTCTTTATGTGCATGATACAACCTGATAGTTTATATATATTTGTTTGTACATTTTCTTTCTTTCCTGTCTGTTAGGAGATATCCCACCTTTGCCTGGGGGAGATTTTTTCATGGCTTGATGAAAAAATTTGAAAAATGTTCACATTAAAATCTTCTACAATACAGTGATAAAATTGTTTGTTTGATTGAGTTATGTGTAAACTCTCACATTGGAAGCTCCGACATAGCCCACTCAGTCGCTACTCTGCAGCTGTCAAGTGACTCGTTTGATTATCGGCATATAATAAATAAATAAAGTAATTTGGAAAGCGTAGAAACCTTATAATGTAATTATTGTATTCCCTTTAAAGGTAGCGTAGGGCTAACCTGGAAGTGGTTAGCAATCCATCCATCCATCCATTTTCCTCCGCTTATCCGGGGTCGGGTCGCGGTGGCAACAGGCCAAGCAGGCTGACCCAGACCTCCCTCTCACCGGCAACATGTTCCAGCTCATTCTGGGGGATCCCGAGGCGTTCCCAGGCCAGCTGGGAGATGTAATCCCTCCAGCGTGTTCTGGGTCTTCCCCGGGGTCTCTTCCCAGTTGGACGTGCCTGGAAAACCTCCAGTGGGAGGCGTCCAGGAGGCATCCTAATTGGATGCCCGAACCACCTCAGCTGACTCCTTTAGACGCGAAGGAGTAGCGGCTCGACTCCAAGTTCCCTCCTGATGACCGAGCTCCTTACCCTATCTCTAAGGCTGAGCCCGGCCACCCTACGGAGGAAGCTCATTTCGGCCGCTTGTAGCCTTGTCCTTTCGGTCACGACCCAGAGTTCGTGACCATAGGTGAGGGTAGGAACGTAGACCGAGTGGTAAATTGAGAGCTTTGCTTTCCGGCTCAGCTCCCTCTTCACCAAGACGGTCCGGTGCAGCGCCTGCTTTACTGCTGCAGCCGCACCGATGCGTCTGTCGATCTCCCGCTCCATCTTACCCTCACCCGTGAACAAGACCAATGTACAAGCAATGTTCTTTTCAAATTTTTTGGATTGGGAGGTCTTTTAGCACCTATTCCAAGGGGGATTAAAACACATTGGCATCCTTGTGGGAGGCGTGTCCAACCATAGTACTGTCCTTTCCACGTGAATGCTAGATTTTGGGTGGATGCGGGTTAGATTGGGACTGACTTGAAACCATTGGCTCAATAATGGATGAGTTCCATTTTCTGTTCTCTTAATTCCTGACTGTGCGTGAGGCATTGATCAGGATCTCTTGATTAGAGCGATCAGATTGTGGACCATAGTCCAGGTTTGCCAATCCCATGATTAAGGTATTACTAATGGTAAGTTCTCCAATTGTATTTCTCAATGAGGCCACAGCCAATATTGAACCATTGGTTTGGTTAATTCTTTTCAATAGTGTTGAGGTATCCACCAAGAATGTCCGAGACACACTACACCATAGAAACCATCTTTCTATTTTGCTATTAAAATAATTGATACACCAATTGATTCATCGATTTATTGAAATTATGGATTAAACAAATACGTGCAACGTATGGAAGCTGTAGTTTTGCTGCATACTGCAGATGAACTTTGATACTCTCAAGCACATATATGTACTGTAGATGAACTTTGATGCTATCTGACAATGCCTGAGGAGCGAGAGGCGAGACCCCAAAAAGTGTTAATGCAGCATCCTGTGGTTTGAACATCTGGCTGACTCTTACACTATGAAGTCTTCTAGGTGTGTTGTAGATTCACACCGAGCTGGCATATATGAAACATGCCCCCTGTGACCTCGAGCCAGACAGGAGGTCCTATCTTATTTGTATTTTATGCAAGTTGTTTATCCTCTTTTTACTTTCTATTGTCTATGATGAGTTACGATCTATTGTTTATTATCGAGCTAAGAGTGTCGTACTTTCAGATATCAATATACTCGTTACATGTAATCCCATATTGCTTAGGGATGGTTCAATGATGATTTTGCTTTAATGTGTGACTTTCTATCATTTATCAAAGAAATAATCATACGTGCTTATAGTGTTGACTGACTAAAGATCAGAAGTCATATATATATATATATATCTATATCTATATATCTATCTATATATATATATAGATATAGAGATAGAGATATAGAGATATAGATATCTATATAGAGATATAGATATAGATATAGAGATATAGATATCTATATAGAGATATAGATATCTATATAGAGATATAGATATCTATATAGATATCTATAGAGATATAGATATAGATAGATATATCTAGAGATCTATATAGAGATATAGATATAGATAGATATATCTAGAGATCTCTATAGAG